AGGACTTCATGATAGGCCATTACTTATGTGAGAGCAAGGAATCAATCCCTGAAATAGAAGACTTGTTCAATCATACCAGAAGAGGTAAACCTGTTTGAACACTTCACAAAATCGAAGGTGCAGGTCAGTTTCTCATCTCTTGTTCTATTAGAGGTGAAATGTTTAAAGATATACTTTGTGATTCTGGAGCTTGTCTTAACATGATGTCCAAGGCAATTTCTTTGAGACTTGGTATTAAACACCTGCGCAGGTCTAAAGCAAGGATTAGTCTAGCTGATGATTCCAATGCAACACCTAAAGGGATAGCTCATGACATTCCTTTGAGAATAGGAGATTGCATTGTGCCTGTCAACTTCTACATTGTCGAAACAAGAGAAGCAACACATCCAGTGATTCTAGGATGGTCTTTTCTAGCAACTCCCGGAGCTATAATGGACTGGCCAAACCAGAGGATTTCATTTGCTAATATCGCCAAAGATGTCTTCACAGAAGCTGTCCCATACAACTGCAAAGCAGGAAAACGTTATGCAACAGAAGAGTTTGAAGAAGAACTTTGGAGTGACGAAGAACCTGCTAGGCAAAGCAAGGATATGTCGAAAAAGAATTGTCTCACGACAAGATCTTCTTCATTGGACTAAGCCACATCCTACACTAAAGTCGAGCTAAACGACTTAAAACAGAAGCGCTTAATGGGAGACAACCCATTTAGGTATTGTTTTCTTTAGGATTTTTCTTTCTTTTTTCTATTGGTCTTTTTCTTTTTCTTAGTTTCAGGTGTTTCTTATAAAACAAAAAGCAAAAAAAAATCAAAAAACCGAAAAAAAAAAAAACAAAAAGAAGGATGGTCCCTGACTGCTCGGCCCAGCAGGAACCAAGGAGAAGCAGGAACAGGCCGCATTTAAGCCCCCGCGGTTGCAGGCTTTCAGACTGCGGGAAACACCACTTCGACCGCGGCTGCAGTCTTTCTGACTGCGGCTAAGCACCACTTTACCGCGGTCGCGTGACCTCTGACCGCGGTAAATGGTCGTTCAGATGATACCCGACCCCAAACCACCCACTTCACCTCATTCTACCTCACCAAGCCCCACTCCACCTCATTCATCACTTCCCACCACCTTCCATCACCACCTATCACCTTCCCAAATCTCTTCGAATGGATCCAGTCCATCTCCACCAGCATCCCAGATCTAGGTAAGTCCTCTTTGGCCTTACCAAATTCGATTATCTATGCATTTTTTCTCATCCAATCTTGACTTGTTTCACACTGAGGACAGTGTGATTTAAGTATGGGGGAGGATTTCATCCCTTTCTAACCACTTTTCTTTCATGAGTCTTGCATTATCTGCACTTTTTGCATTTTCCTTAAAGTTTTTCAAAATCGATTTTCAAAACAAAATACGTTTTAAAGAGAATGGTGAACATGAATCAATGATAGTTGACTGTGTGCTTTTAGACTGTTCCTGGTGACATGCTCATTCATGATTTAGGACTAGACTAGGAGGTAGCTAAGCACATTTGAAACGAAGTACCCCAGAGGAATTTGAATGATTTCGATTTAGATGAAGGAATACACTAGCTCAGTTTTATTTGGACTTACCTTGGACTTAATTCTCTCATTAAAGCATTACCCAGGGAAACGAATCATACATTCAGGACTCCTTTACCCTTTTACCACTCTTTGTTGATCCTGAATGGCTAGTTCATCTTTAGGTAGTTCCCAACCTTAACCAAGTCTCTTTCAAACCACATGCACTCTTGTTTTCTATGGTCGTATATGCATATATGTGTAAAAACGTTGGAGAGAAAGAGGAACGACGCAGTTTTCAGTCACCAAAGACAGAGACCTGCGATTTTGCCGGAAAACTTCCCGGAAGGGTTCAATACATGAGGAAGCTCATTTTGCCTTAGAAAATCTCAAATTTTGGTACAATCTCGTCCTCTAGTCTCTCTCTCTCTCTCTTCAAAAGGTGTTTCCCATTTCCAAAAAAAAATCCGAAAATAGGAAAGAAAATGAAATAAAAGCCTTAGAGAGTCTAGAGAGGTCGAATTTTAAGTCTCAAGGCAAGCTAGAGTTCGATCTAATGGATTTTTGGAGATCATTTTCTGATTCCTCTAAAAAATATAAGTCTAGGGGAATAGATGTTCACAACAAAGGAGGAAGGATTATGCAACAACATTTGGCAAGAAGAAGTGACTGAAAATTGCGGTCATCAACAGGTCCTTATCTCTCTTGCGGTTTTGCATATTATCTTGCATCCTCCAGATTCATCAGGTAACCCGAAACACTTTAACTCCACCACTTAAATAACCCTTTAATGCCAAACGCCGTCTACCCTGGATGATGTCTCTAATGAAATTCACTATTACACTTAATGAATGTAGAGAGCTAGTTGACTGGAATCAAGATTTAGATTATTTAAGTTTTGCATGACGGAAAAAGTGGACTAGTATCTTTTGTGTCTTGGTGAGTTTTCTAGACTAAGTTATGGATTGATGCACGATCTTTGGTCCTAGTTTAAGAGTTCATGTCTCTGAGATTTGTGAATTTCCTATTTTGTTTTCACTTACCAGTTTAGACTTTTGCTTTGTTTGGGGACAAACAAAGGTTTAAGTCTGGAGGATTTGATAATACCGTATTTTGACCACTTTTATGGCTCGTTTTGAAATACTTTTTCTATGTTTTTTATTGTTTTCAAGTACTTTTATTACGTTTTTCTAGTATTTGTAGTTCCAAAATTCTTTTCAGGGTACATAGGGAAAAGCTTAACAAAATGGATAGAAGACTAGATTTTCAGCTCAGAGTCAAACCGTCAGAAGTTCACCCCCAATTGAAGGCGTTCTCACCGTCTGACCCAGCTCAAATTTGGAGATCTCAAAGATGGAACTATCAGCTTTCCAGCACACTTTACAGCTTGGCAATCTAAAGGTTCAAAAAAAGATACGCGAATAGCAAGATGTCCTGTAAACCAGCCTTCAAGAATTTCCACCCGTGGCCAACAGCAATTTCACCACGGTCAGAGGCTTCCTAACCACAGCCAAGCATCCATTCCCCACGGTCACGCACTTCCCGACCGCGGCCAGCCAACTCCGAACTAGAAGGCCCATTTCTGAAGTCCAAAAAGATTTCTTCATTTGGAGAAACCCTAAGTGACGCCCAGAGATGTCTTGAGCACTATAAATACATGTTTTAGAAACCCTAATTCGTATCACCTCATATGCTCTTATTTTTTTAGAATACTTTTTAAGTTTTAGCTTTTAGGAAGAGAGAGATTTGTCTCTTGAACTCTTGTTCTTTCTTTTTCAATTTCCATTATTGCTCCACTTTTTAATACTATGTTTTTTATTTCGCTCATCATGTCTGAGTAGTTTTATTGTTGGGTCAAGGGGATTTTCGATGGGGATATATATGTTCGATGAGGATTCCATGAGCCATTGAATCCGAATCTTAGAATTTTTTTCTTCTGAATTTACTTTTACTGCATGAGAGTAGCGTCATGAACTACAATCTGATCCAGATGCTTGGTGACACGAAAGTGTTCATCCAGTGTCAGATCTAGTTTGGGAGAGCAAAACAAACATAGGAGTGGAAACCTACCTATGGGCGATTTGTGAATGCTGACGAGTCTTAAACATAATGCATATTTTCTCTTCCTGGGCCAGAGTGGAAACCTACTGGTCAGGGTTGAGAGAGATAGTTGTCTATGATCACGACAGTGCTCTAGTTCGAAAAGTTTTAGCTAAGATCTTATCAAATTTACTCTTTGGCAATGTTTTGAATCGTTCATACCCCAGAGAAAACTTCCCTGAAACCCAGCGCCTTCTTTTCTATAGATTTACACCGATTTTATTTCAAGCTTTACTTCATCATTTTCATTCTCTTAATCGATTTTAATTTAAGCAATTAGGTCTAGCCGTTTTTCTCTTTTTTAGTCGATTTCATTAACTTTAGTTATTAGGTCATTTTAATTCTCGTATTTTCTCGTTAAGATTAGTTTTTACGTTTTAAAGACACCACCAAAACCCTTACAAAAATTGCCTGGTTTTGGACTTCATTACTTTGTATTTCTTTCGAAGGCTTTGTAGGAAAGATCCTCTTCCCTGTGGAGTCGATCCTTAAGTACTACAATCGATCAGTTGTGCACTTGCGGCTATTGATTTCATTTAGGGTAAAACTTGACACCCTCACGACAGCACACATCAATATTATATTAGGTTTAGTTTAGGATCTTAACCAAAAACCCCAAAACTTTTATTGGTTTATGACTTTGCTTATTTCTCAGTTTGTTGTTTCTCACAGATTAGACATCCTCCCTGTGGATCGACACACTAAGTCCTACAACGTACATCTGTGCACTTGCAGACACTAGGATTTTATAAATTTAAAACTTTTGGAGGACCAACGAGCTTGTTAAAAAACAACCCTAGGCCCGAAAGCCAATTAGTGAACACGACTGGAAACCTCCGTTTCCTCCGAAATTCCCATTTTGGAAAATTTTTTTTGGAATGGTCTCTGCTGCGGTGGGTATTGCTGATCTTAGGGATTCTCTAAGAGAGATTGTTGAAGTTGTTGAAGTTGGCATTGCGGAAGTTATTGTTGAAAAATCATTGTTGAAGGGATTTGGATATGGTCCTTGTGTTCCTACATAGTTCACGTCTTCTTCTTGAGAGGTTTGATTATTGTGAACAGCTTCACAAAATCCTTCATCTTCTACGCCATTGGTGATCTCACAGGCATGGACTGGCCGATTATGGCTCTTGAGGATTTGTCTCATCATGTTCTTTAGCTCGGTCATCCCTTTGTTATCTGTTCCGGTCAGCTTTGTTGAACGATCATAATCAGGACAATCGTGTTGCTGTTACCTTGAGCAAGAATTTCGATGAGAGCGCTTCCTTGTGCGATTTTATTTTGTCTGAAATCTCCATTGCTGGCTGTGTCGAGTGAAAGCTTGTAATTTGGTTTCAATCCTTTATAGAATTTGCTTAGCAGGCTTTATCCGGGAAATCTGTGATGTGGACAATCACGTTCATACTCCTTAAATCACTCCCAGGCTTCATAAAAAGACTCGACCGGATCTTGTTGGAAACTTTGGATTTTGTTTCTCAACAGGTTCAACCTTGACTTAGTATAAAAGTAGTTCAGGAAAGTAGTTTTACATTCTTCCGAATTAGTGATCGATCCTGCTAGCAAAGATTTCAGCCAACAGTGAGCTTTATCAGTTAATGAAAACGGGAACAATTTACACTAAGGTAATCTGCGAGAACTTGGGTTGTTCTCATCATGTTGAAGATCTCTTCAAACAGCTCAACATGATCAATTGGATGTTCGGAAGGGACTCCATGGACCTCGTTTTGTTTCACCAAATAAATTATCTAGGGTTTGACTTCGAACTCATTCTGGTTCGGGAATGGTACTTGAATCGCAGATCGATTCTGAAAGTTCTAAGTTGGTGCATCAAAGTCAGCTATACAATGATTTGGGGCTTGTCTTCGGTGTTGATTTGCAGGCTGAATGGGGCGGTTATTGCATCCATTCGGCTGTATTCCTTGGTTGTCAATTTTGGCTGCATTGATTGGTGCATCAAGGTTTGCACGTTCTTCTCTCCTCGGTTCTACATCATCTCGGTCTTGAGGGATTCTTGGGGGGATTGGATTTCCATCTCTATCGATCTGAGGTTAATCATCTCCTCTATGATCATCCTCTTGGTTATCACCATGATCGGAATTTTCATGGTCTTCATTAAGGTTGCGGTTTACGGGATCTCTAGGTTGGTCGTCGTCGGCCATTTCTTGCATCCGTATAAGTCTTCAAAGTTCTCTTTCGTGTCTGTCAAACTCGTCTAAAACAGGAATATTTGCTGCACGTTTGCGCCTGGTATTCATGCATTTTCTCTAAAAGACAGAAAAAAAAAGGAAAGAGATATTAGAAACTTAAGAAGGAACTACAGATCGGTGTCTAGAACAGTAATTAGAACAAGAAAAATAAAAATAAAAAAGCAGTAAAGCAAATCCCCGGAAACGACACAAAAAAACTTGATGTGTGTGGTGTGAGGGAACAAGTTTTATCCTAAAAGAAACAAATGAAAGCTGCAAGTGCACAACTAATCAATTGTAGTACTAAGGAATTGAATCCACAGAGATTTGTGTGCCGAGTATTTTCCTACGGTTTTTAAATTGATGTCTAGACTAAATTGGTTTTACAAGGTTGGGATTTAGTCACGATTTAATCTAAAATTAGAGAAAGCAAATAAAATTATCCTAGAAAGAAAGCAGGATATCGAATGAAAGCAGGATATCGAATGAAAGCAAAGAAAAAATGAAAATCTAGGTAAGCAAATCGATAAGGTTGTGAATAATAACTAAAAACGCTGGACTTTTGGGAACTCTATGAGGATTATAATCGGTTTCAACAATTAGGATTATAGATTAGGATTCTTGGATATCGATATATCTAGGGTTCTAGAGCTAGAGTACGGCGGTATGACTACGTCACTATCGTGATTATAACCAACTGTCTCTCGTAACCCTAACTAGTAGGTTTCCACTCTGGCCCTGGAAGGGAGAAGACAGAGGAACTTTCACAGGACCTGTCAGTACTCACGGCTCACCCATATGTATATTTCCACTCCTATTGAAGAATCGCTCGTTTCATTCTAGGTCAGATACTTAATGAAAACTTTCGCAACACTAATTATATCAGACACGAGGTGATAAATCAAGCATACATGCATTAAGAACAAGAATAAACGAAGAACATAAATAAAATCCCAGATCTAAAAACCTAGATGTCTTATTCAATTATGCGAGCCCCTTTCGGGAACCCTATGCCCAACTTGGGATCTACTCATACATAGTTGAGGTCAACATCATCATTGGTTTTAATGAAAGCAATTAAAAATAGTAAAGAAAAGAGATGAAAGAAAGCTTCTCTATTGATGAACTCAAGGTTGAGAAATCTTCTCTACAAATCGTTAAAAACGGCTAAGAAAGTTGTCTCTGTAAAAGTATGGAAGAGATGTCTAAAAATGACTTAAATGACAAGTATTTATAGCCTTCAATACTCCAAGGCGTCTAGGGTTTCAGAATTAAGGCTGAGAAATGACTTGGGCTTCATAAGTGGGCTTCTTAACTCGGAGATAGCTCGTCGTGGTCGCACGATGCGTAACTGTGGGAAATGGGTACTTGGCCGCAGTTTCACAGCTCTGACCGTGGTGAATGGCTTGTTGGCCACGGTCCTGTAGCTTGCTGGCCATCTTCAAATGTCTCCGGGGAAATTGGAATATCTTGAGATCCAACCGCTTGAATGTCTCCAAACTAATTGCATTTGAAAGCTGGCTGAGTCTTCTATTAATTTCCAATTTTGGGGATGATCAGATGGTGAGAAGGTATTTTTCTCTTCTTGAGAATTCAGACGGCCTGAATTTATCCAAAATAGTCGTTTTGTTCTAATTTGCACCTCTTTCTGCCAAATTTCCTGGAAAATCTTTAAAAAAAACAAAAACAGAGAAATCTTTTGAAAACTTTAAAAATGGAATGAAAACACCTGCAAAAGATATTAAAGTGATCCATAAAAATAGTCAAAAACCGGTGTTATCAGTAGCTCGAGCACTTAGTTTTCAAGCGAGACTTCCTATCAAGTTTTGGGGTTATTGTGCACTTACTACTGATTATTTGATTAATCGCACACCCACAACTCTTCTCAATGGGTAGACACCGTTTGAATTGCTATACAATCGTCCATCTCCGATGAACTATATTCAAGTTTTTGGCTGCAATGTTTTTTTTTTTGGTTCAAACATAGCTGTATTTGTTATGTTCACAATCAGAAGCATGGAGGGTAGAGAGTCACAGCAATAAATCCATTTTCATTGGATATCTTTTTGCCAAAAAAGGATGGTGAGTTTACAATATTGACACATAGGCTGTCTCTGTCTATCGTGTTGTAATATTCATAGAAACAGACTTTCACTTCGATGATGTAGCAATTGTGTACCACAAATAATCGAGGAACCCGAATTACTTGGTCGTGGGCATCACAAGAAACAACGACCTATTAAGCTTGCATATTTTTGTCTCGTGGTTACTTACTGAGCCGTTTCTTTTCGTCACACCTAATCCTTTGGATAATTAATTCTCTTTCATTGTCTCAGTTCTCCACCGTTTATCAGGCATTTTTCATGGCTATGACTTTCACCATAGAATCTCGAAGCTACAAAGAGGCATTTCTTGATGAAAGTGGCGATTGGCTGTTCAATATGAAGTCCTCTTGCCAGAAGATCTTGGTACATGGACAGTCGAAGATTTGCTCCCGAGAAAACTGCGCTTGGCTGTATGTGGGTTTTCAAAATTAAATTGAAATCTGATGGTTCAGTGGAACGATACAAGGCATGTTTGGTCGTTCTTGGGAATAATCAAACTGAGGTAGATAATTACGCCGAGACCTTTGCGCCGGTTGTTAAGATGGTAACAGTCATAATTTTCTTCAATAAGATGTCTCTCTTCATTGGGAAGTGCATCAAATAGATTTTTGTAACACATTTTTACGCGGAGATCTTGATGAAGAGGTATACATGCGTTTTCCTCCTAGGTTCTGAACGAATGAAAAAACAAAAGTTTGCCAATTAAGGAAATCACTGTATGGTTTAAAGCAAGCTCCTCGATGATGGTATGCAAAGCTTGCATCAGCTTTGGAAGGTTAAAGTTTTCACCATGACATTTCTGAGTACTCTCTGTTTACACTTGAGAAAGAATCCGTTTGCATTCATGTGCTTGTTTACGTTGATGACTTGATCATCACTGGTAGCTCGGTTGACACAATCAACGAGTTTAAATCTTATTTGAGCTCGTCTTTTCATTTGACAGACCTCGACATTTTGCGATACTTCTTAGGGATTGAAGTCGCACAAAATCTAGTTGGTATATATTTGTGTCAACGCAAATATGCATTTGAGATCCTCACTGAAACTGGTTTACTTGGCGTTAAGCCGGCTACTCATCCGTTGGAACAGAGTCACAAGCTTGCCTGATAGCGCAGTTATGTCGAATCCTTCTCCATACCATCATTTGAGTGGGAAACTTATATATTTGACTAATACAGATTTTGAGTTATCCTATGTTATTCATATTCTTTCTCAGTTTATGAGTGCTCCTAAGCCTGCTTAGTGGGAAGATGCGGTTTGTGTGGTTGGATATCTCAAACAAAGTGTCGAACAAGGTATTCTTCTAAAGACCTGTAGACCGCTTGTTTTATCTGTTTGGTGTAATTCAGATTGGGCATCATGTCCCCTTACTCGCTGGTCTTTAATGGGATAGTTTGTATAACTTGGCGATTCACTGATATCGTGAAAAACCAAGAAGTATGATGTTTTGTCTTGTTCTTCTACTGAGGCCGAATATAGAGCGATGACAGACACAATTCAATAGCTTCTCTGGTTACGACAGCTATTATCGGTTCTTGGTATTTCGTGTGACTATTCTATCATCCTTCATTCAGATAGTCAGTCGGCTCTCAAACTAGCAGTTAATCCGGTCTACCATGTTCGTACTAAACATGTTGTGTTGGATTGTCATTTCATCCGTGATGAGAACGTTTGTGGTACCATAGCTGCAAAACATATTTCTACTAAGTCTCAACTTATTGATATAATGACAAAAGCGCTAGGCCGGAAGGAGTTTGATATTGAAACATATTTAGTTTTTATAGTGTTTGTTTTATATCGTTAATATGTAATGTATTAAATTAATTGTATTATGTATATAAGACATAGTCTTTCTATCGATATAAATAAAAAACTCTTTTACAGTTTCTAAAAACTTCTTGTAGAGAAAAAGAGTTTTTGATCTAAAATAATTCTTAGTATCACAAAATAGTACAAAGCAATTCTTGTAATTGTTGGCAACTCTAATAACCGCAATTATCTGAAAATGCTACATTTGTGGGTGTAAACGAGAAAACCAATCAGTACTTATTAACGAGAAAACTAATCAATCCTTTAGTAGATAACATCTTAAAGTGGCAACCATTAATACGACTAAAAAACATATCCAAGTCGGTTGCAAACGACAACTCAAAGTTTATTTATTCACAAGTGAATTGAAAAATGAAAATGCCTCCTCAAGTGAACAAGATCCAAAACAATAAATGACTTAAATTTCTTATTTGTGATCGGTCCACTTACTTCTTTAGTACTCTGGTCAGAAGTTTAAAATATGGAGAAGAGGAAAAAGTATTTGTAAGGAAAGCACGTGTCATTCTATCACTGTCCATAACCAACGATAACAAGAAACGAACCATCCTCGAGTTGACACATACGAAGCCAAATCTCAGCCGTTAAACGTCGGAGTAACGTGGACGGATGTTATTTTCTTTCACTTCAGACTTTGTTTGTGGGAAGATGTCAGATATCAAAGAGTCTCCTTACCTTTTTTCATTGGTCCACGTCCCAGTTTTCAAGCTGGGCCCACTTACCATTATCAAAGCACCCACCTTATGTTTTTTTGTGTTAAAAAATTAAATACAAGGACAATAATACTCTCAGTTTCACTAATTAAGTAATTATACTATTTGGAGTTTATCATTGGCTATAGTAGTATAATTTAATAAGTTCAGTTAAATTCTAGGTGAAAAAGGAAGCCAGCTAAATAACTCTATTATTGTTTCACTCATTTAACTAAATACGCAAAAATACAAAATCATAACCAAAGAAAAAAAAAAAGAAATTCACAGTTGGACCAAAATTATAGTAATTAACAATAGAGTTAGATGATAATTTAATTTAATTTATTTTAAATACTTAATTAGTGGAAACAGTTGATTTTTCCTTGTTCTTGTTCTTCTCCACACAATTTCTAAAAATTTGTTTATTTGAATGATTTAACAAACATGTAATTAATCCATTTAATAGTATTACAATATTTTTCGTCGTCCTTCATTAGGTTTTAGTTGTCCGCAACCTCTTGTTCGACATTTTTATCACAAATTTCCAAAAGATGTGTTTTGCTTCATACATCTCATTTATTAAACAAAAAACTGACTTTATTTTTCCAGATTGCGCATATAAGAGTGAATGTAAATCAAATATCTTAGACAAAATTATTCGCGATATGATTTAGATTTCGAGAAGTTGCATTGTTTGTGGTTTGTTGGTAAACATGAATGAGATTTTTTTTATGAGAATTTTATTGACGAGAGACTTAAATGTAAAAAAATATTATCTGATGCTGAAGAAATCCATCTTGCATTACAAAGTACGATCAAGAGTTTTTAAGATAACGGTGTGAAAAACATTTTTTTTTAAAAGAGGTTGGTTCTGAATTAGACAAGATGATTATCCATTATTTCAATCTAATAAATTGAAAAGTAAAGTGAAAATATGAGTTATTCAAGAAGCTATGATATGTTTCCGTAAGAATTGAATAAAGAAGAAATATTTAGATTGCTGCATAACATTCTAGGAAGCTGTAATTCTAAGTAATATGTGATTTTAAAATATATTTCGAATTATAAAGTATTAGAAAATAAAATTTTAAAGACAGTATGATGTATTTTTGTAAAGGTGTATAGAAAATCTTAATCGAAAAACATATGGACAAAAAAATATATATATTAAAAAAGAAAACCAAATTACTGAAAAAAAACGTGTAAACCCCATACTTCAGGAAAGGAACTCCACGGTATACTAGATCCATACCATGACCGTAGATGCAAAAGAAAAACAACATGAAGTCACAACACACAAAAAAATAAAAAAGCTAAAAAGTGATAGTGACGCCTACATAAAAATATATTTAAAATGTAAAGGTTAAAAAAGTATTGCTAAATGTAGTATTTATTCGTATGGTTAGGAGACAGAGAGACACTTGGCTGAGGAGACAAAAGAACGAACTAGAGACATTTTTGGGCAACGGATTAAGCCAAAAAACTAAGGTAATAAGATACTCTTCTGATTACTCTGTGTGTGGATAATTGCTATAGCTCGTCTTCTTTAATTGTTTCCATTGTTGACCACATTAATTTGGATTAATTTATAATTACTAATTTAGCCTTTATTTTCTCATAAACCCATTTATATTCTTGTTCGTCGAATCCGATTTTATCCGTTTAATCAAAACTATGTGGAATCTGTTAGTATATTGCTTTTCTAAGGGGTTTTTGAATTGGGTTTTTCAAATTTTCTGGAGCTTCTTTATGTTTCTGATCTGATTCTGTGAAATTCACTGAATTTCTTGATTTTGATGACAAGGGTTTAACTAAAATTTTACTAATTCTTGTATTCAAGGTCATTTCCAGATACATAAGAACCTAGTGGAAACAGATTCTGCAGAACATCATTTTCAAGAACAACAGTATGGGAAATGAGCCACCAGGAGATGGTGGTGGAGGAGGAGCGTTGACCAGACCGGCGTTGACCAGACAAGGTTCGATATACTCGTTGACATTCGATGAGTTTCAGAGCAGTTTAGGTAAAGATTTTGGGTCAATGAACATGGATGAGTTGTTAAAGAACATATGGAGTGCTGAAGAAACACAAGCCATGGCTATGGCTGCTTCAACTAGTAGTATGATTCCAGTTCCTGGAGGCCAAGAGGGTTTGCAGTTGCAGAGGCAAGGCTCGTTGACTCTGCCTCGAACGCTAAGCACGAAAACAGTTGATCAAGTGTGGAAAGATCTCTCCAAAGATTGGAACAGTGTAGGAGGAACAAGCTTGTCTCAGTCTCAGAGTCAGAATCAGAGTCAGAGTCAGAGTCAGAGTCAGAGTCAGAGGCAGCAAACTTTAGGTGAAGTAACTCTTGAGGAGTTCTTGGTACGTGCTGGTGTTGTGAGAGAGGAAGCTCAGGTTGCTGCAAAAGATAAAGATGGTTACTTTGGTAACGATGCTAACGCTGGTTTCTCTGTCCAGGCTTCTCCGCGGGTTGTTCCCGGTTTAATGGAGAATCTTGGTGTAGAGACTGCAAATCATTTGCAGGTTCAAGGTTCTAGTTTGCCTCTGAATGTAAATGGAGCTAGATCAACATACCAGCAACAACCAATCTTGCCTAAGCAACCTGGTTTTGGTTACGGAACACAAATTGCTCAGCTTAATAGTCCTGTGGTAAGAGGTGGTCTTATGGGACTTGGAGATCAGCCTCTAACGAATAATATGGGCTTTGTCCAAGGTGTTGGTGCTGTGTCTCCTGTTACGCCATTGTCATCAGACGGGATAGGGAAGAATAACGGTGATTCTTCATCGCTCTCTCCGTCTCCTTACATGTTTAATGGTGGTGTGAGAGGTAGAAAGAGTGGTGGCACTGTGGAGAAAGTTGTTGAGAGAAGGCAAAGGAGAATGATAAAGAACCGAGAATCAGCTGCGAGGTCACGGGCCAGGAAACAGGTAAAATGTTTAATCTATACTCTCTTTGATTGTGTTATATCCCAAAAAGACTTTGTAAAGTAATCTTGTAGTTAAGTGTTGAAATGAAAATGTATAGTGTCTTTGTCTGAGATAGTGTAGTAAACAGAAACTTGAAAGAAATTGTGTTTCTTGTGGTTGAATTGAATCTTGGAAACGTATATGAACCTTCTGGTTTTGGTGTATATACATGTTGCCATACGCAGATGTTCACGGCAGACCAGACCATATACTGGAATGTAATTTGCTAAAGTCTCGAGGTGGCTCAGAGGTTGTATTGACTCCATTTCATCAAGAAGTTGTAGTGACTCTATTTACTGTGACCGACCTGTTGAGTTCTACATGTTTTGAATGGCACTCTAGTATATCTCATTACCTTCTCAGTAGTGCTTATTTTGGTTTCTAGGCTTATACCGTGGAGCTTGAAGCTGAAATTGCAAAGTTAAAGGAAGAGAATGATGAGTTGCAACGAAAACAGGTAATCGCAAACCATATTTGCTCGTATCTTACCTTCATTTCTTTTAGTTTCTCACCATATTCCTTGTGTTTTTTTACAGGCAAAGATTATAGAAATGCAAAAGAATCAGGTAATCATTTGACACCAATAGCTTCTTATTAATCTCTAAACTGCACATTTCCATAGCTGAACTTATGAACTCAGTTGTTTCCGTGCTGTGTATGCATATACAACAGGAGATGGAGATGAGGAATCTTGAAGGTGGTCCAAAGAAAAGGCTGAGGAGGACAGAGTCAGGACCTTGGTGAATCATACTTAGCTTCTGTAGATAAATTATCCCACTTAGGTGTTTAGTTTGAAGTCTGAGAAGAGAAAAGAGCTTTCATGGTTTGTATTGTTAGCTCTCTCCATATATGTGTTCTCTTATGCGTTATACAGACACGGGATCATCAGAATCTTTTTACTTTAACTAGACCAAGATGCTCTTTGATATGTTGCATGTATTATATTGTTAGTTTCTTCTTCTTGGTTTTTCTCCGTTTGTCATAATTACAACCTCAAAAGGCAGTTCTTTATTAATTGACATAAGACTATCATAATTTTATTTAAGCACAAAATAATGAGACTACAATAATTAAAGCAAGATTATCTACATACTAGGTGTTGGCGCGGACGGAAAGGTTTCAAAATATCCATTTTGTGGAAAAGTCATTAAAAATAAATATGTTAGATATTTGTGACTTGATTGTCAATCGAAGTCATTAAAAATGAATATGTTTTGTGACTTGATTGACAATTGACGATGGACTCATAATATCCATGTACTAAGTCGTTAAATGAGCCATGTTAATCAAGCCCAAACTTAAACACATTTGCCCACAAAAATTCGTAAAACAAAACTTAATGTTATAAAATATAAACCGAAGAGAATTAAAACAACTGTTTGAGATATACATAATCAAAATAAAGCTAACCAAAAAAAGTAAACACCATTCAAAATTAAACACCAAAAAAAAATACTAAATAAATGTATGAAATTCAAAACTACTTGTAGTTCTTCGAATTCTATTTTTATCCACTTATTTATCTTTTGGGTTTACTTCTTAGAGTTCTTTCACATATTTTCACATATGACTCACAAATTAAAGTCAAATGCAAATCTAACCTCTTTTTTCTTCCTCTTCAACATTAACCATTTTCTTCCTACTATCTCCCTAAAATCACATATAATAATGTAAATGCCATTATGTTTATAATTATCGATTTTTTAAAGAAATTTAAAAAAAAAACACAACCATCCTAAAAGCATGTCCAGTGGGGGTTCATCCCCACATTTGAGCTCGAAATCATATGCAAAACTGAATTAAAAAAAGGAAAAAAGCTCATTTTGGACGGATCGGTTCATCCGGTTGAACCTGATGAACCCGTCTCTTATCCATGTGTCTTGAGGGGATTGGAGGAAAATCGGGGAAATTTTGGGGGAGGAAAAAAAAACTATCGGCCCAATATTCATTCTCTTTCCCGGATAATTTTTTCTTTCTCTCGTTCCCTTCTCCGGCGATTTTTCGAGAATCCGTCGATTCCGTTCAAACCGGCGAATTTTTCTGGTGGGTTGGTAATCGTAGCATCGCGTTTCCGTCTGAACGTCAAGGTAATCCTTTGGTCTTCAGTTCTCGGTTTATTTTTTAACGAATTCGTAGGATTAGGGTTTCGTATATTTGGGGAAACACTGGAATTCCAAAATCGGTGTTTTTTTTTGGGGATTTTGGGTGGATTACGGATGCTTGCCTCTTAATTCGTATGTCGATAAGTATTTCTATATTTTAAAAATTGTGTTTGTATTTTTTTCTTAATAAATTGTATTCTTCTGTAGTTTGCAATATATTGTATTCTTTTTTTAATAAGTGATTTTTATTTTAATTACAAAAAAAAATTTCAAAAAAAAAAATTAATATAAAATTCCGGATGAACACCATTAACGGGTTCACTAATGGAACCTCAAACTTAACCAGATTTCATCACAAAAACGAAAAAACAAATTATTTATTTAATCTGATGAACCCCATAAGGGGGTTCACTACTGCACATGCTCTAAGATATATTAAGTATTCACGAAAATGCCATCATCTTCAATTTCACCAACTACCACTACCAACCAAAATGAAGCTTTTAATGCTTGCCCATCCGCATTTGAAGCTCTAAATGCTTATTAGGCCGCTCAAAACTTCATTCTATCTTCAAATTTCTCTCCAGTTTCATCTAAAAATCTCTTTCATGGTCGAGATTGATATGTTTGAATTTGCAATCATCTATTTTGTGAACTTTTTGGATAACCGAGTTCTGGGCTGGTTTGCTTTCGGTGCATTTCAAAAATTCTGAGCTTCTGTCAAAGTTAATCGAGTTCAAATTGGATGGAGGTAAACACCTAATTCTTTTCTTTAACATTGGCTACGTTTCGTAAAAGTAGACTTCTTTTACAGTCTGCTAGTCAACGCAAAAGGTTAGATTTGCAATTGACCTTTAGATATTTTTTTGAAAGTAGACTTCTTTGTAAGTCTGTGAATGTTCATTTGAATACAAAAAAAAAATCTTGTAGACTTCTATTTCAGTCTGCGGAAAAGCGAGGTTGTTTTTGCATTTGACCGAAAAATGTGATGCTTTGACTTTTGTTGCAGACTTCGTTGAGAAGTCTGAGATATCAAAGTTTGACCTGAAAGGTTATTTTTGCATTTGACCAAGATGTTGACCAGCTTTGACTGTTCCAGCAGACTACTAAAGAAGTTTGCTAGGAAAATTAATAGCAGACTACTAAAGAAGTTTGCTATTAATATAATTCAGATTTGGTCAAATGTAAAAATAACCTTTCAGCAGACTTATAAAGAAGTCTGCGGCCAACTACAAAAGTCTGCTATGAAAGTCAAACATTTGGTCAATTGCAGAAATAATCTGGAGCATACTTCGATTACCGAGTAAACGTCTTCAGCAGACTGCAATACAACCGAAGACTTCTTTCCCCGGTAGCAGACTTCTTTCTTGTAAAAGTCAAACTTTTGGTCAATTGTAGAAATAACGTTTTGCTTTTGCAGACTTCATATAGAAGTCTTCTAGAGAAAGTCAAACTTTGGTCAGTTGCAAAAATAACACTTTCTTTTTGGTAGACTTCTACGTGAAATATACCTGGTGGAGTTTTTCTGGAAGTCTGCATTTTTTTCATTTTAAATTGCATTTTTTAAACTTGTGTGTGATGAATTTTTTTTATTTTTATTTTTATTCTTGTATATTACGTATAGTTCCTTCACCTGTATGAGTTTTGTATGCTTATGTGTTAAACATAAATAGTTATGAATTTTCTAGATTTCAAAGGTAATTAGCACATATTAGCAGACTGCATATGAAATTTGCGTATGAAGTCTGCTGAGACGAAGGAGAATAACACAGCAGACTGCAATAGAAATTTGCCTATTATTTTAATAAAAATTCACGTTGATATGTGTTATAATTACAAAGTGATGAATTTTCTTGAATGTTTAGGCTTTTAGCGGATTATAGCAGACTTCTTTAGAAGTTTATAAGTCTGCTCTATGTTACTTGGAAAACACGGTTTCTAATGTGGTTTACCTTTTTTTTGCAGATGCCGATTCAGTTGCCTGTTGTATTTGGAGAATGAGTTATGGGTGCTCAGTCGTGGCATTTTGTGGTGGATAATCGCAAAGAAGGAAGGTTGTTCTTCTTGAATGATGGTTGTACACATGAAGAACTCATAGCTATGGCTCTAGATGATTACATGCTGGATGGAAAAACTGACAGCGTGTCTATCACTTATGCATTGCCAGATTCAATGTTAGCAAACATGGCTCCAGATACCCCTCCTATGCATATTACAAATGATAGACAAGTACAGAGTTTGATTGGGTTGAGTAAGACGCATGTTATACGTCTTTGTGTATCTAGTCATAAGGATCATGATGGACGTACTGGTGGTCTTGACGCTGCTGATGGGTTTTCTGTTGAAGCTGAGAATGAAACTACAGAGGAAGGTGAATATGAAAATGTTGATGAGTATGATGATGATGATATCAACGACGACATCAAAAACGAACCAGTAAAAGAGGAAGACGATACAGACTCTGAGGATGAGGACTACAGCCAATATGGGAAAGTGAAGGATGAGGATTCAAATTCTGATTCAGAGGGTGAGTGGATTGAAGAACCGGTTAAGGCTCCTCAAAGAGGATATGAAAGAAACTGGATTGACAAAATAAAATCATTTTTGCTACAAAAGATGAGCTCATTTCAGAGATAAGGTTGACGGCTGTTATGTTGAAGTATGCATTCAGAGCTGATAAGTCATCGAAACGTCTGTTTGTTGCTAAATGTGCTGTTAAAGGATGCCAATGGAGAGTTAGAGCAGCTGTAAAGAACGAAGCAAAGACGTTTTGGGTCACAAAATATGTCAAAACTCATACCTGTTCTGTTTCAGATCAGTTGGCTCACCGAAAGCATACGTCTCCAAGATATATTGGGAAGTTATTTATAGAGCGTGTGGGAATAATTGATGGGATTACTGCGCTACACATCAAAGATTCAATGCAGGTGATGTTTGGACTGAAACTAGACTACACAACTTCGTATAGAGCTTTGATGTATGCACAAGAATGTGTGAGGGAAACCCCTGAGAATGGATATAGCCGACTGGCTTCTTATTTGCGTCAGATCGCTGAAGCAAATCCGGGTACTATAACTGCCCTTGAACGCAACAGTCAGAATAGGTTCAAATACCTATTCATAGCCTTCAGAGCCTCCATAGCTGGTTTTCAATATCTCAGACGGGTCATTGTTGTTGATGGGTCTCATCTAACTGGAAAGTATGAAGGGATTCTGCTAGTGGCGACAGCACAAGATGGTAACTTCCAGATATTTCCACTAGCTTTTGGAATAGTGGACTCTGAAAATGATTTCGCATGGGAATGGTTTTTTTATAAAACTGCGGGAGTGTTTTACAGACGAATATATGTTGGTGATAGTTTCAGACAGGCATCATTCCATTAAGAAGGTATGTGAGACTGTTTTATCGTGGGTAGCACGCGGGATATGCTATTATCATCTGCAACACAATATAGTCACTAATTTTAATGGGAAACATCTTATGTACTTGGTCAAACGTGTTCCGTATGCATATACGGTTCATGATTTTAACAGGTATATGGACGAGATAAGGCATATAAAACCTGAGCTTGCAACGTACCTGGAGGAGGCATGCATTCAGTTGTGGTCAAGAATTCACTTTCCGGGTGATAGATACAATATAAAGACGAGCAACATCGCAGAGTCTATCATCTCCGCTCTCAAACGGGCACGGGATTTCCCATAGTATTTCTGTTGGAGTACATACGGGAGAAGCTAACAAAGTGGTTTTGTAAAAGGCAGGAAGATGCTTTGAGTCTTCAAACCATCCATACTCAGGGAGTTGAATATTTGTTGGCAATTCGTTCAC